GTATTGGGTCCCCCATGTTGGGTGCATAAATATTTATAATTATTATATCTTCTTGTTTTGTTTTTCCTTTTATGATTATATAGTGTCCTTCTTTTTCTCTTGTTACAGTCTTTGTTTTAAAGTCTCTTTTGTCCATTATAAATATTGCTACCATGGATTTCTTTTCACTTCCAGTTGCATGATAAATGCTTTTCCATCCCCTCACTTTCAATCTGCATGTGTCTTTTTTTTTTTTTTTTTTAAGTAAACTCTACCCCAATGTGGGGTTTGAGCTCAACCCCGAGATCAAGAGTCTCATACTTTACTGACTGAGCTAGGCAGGCTTCTCAATCTGCATGTGTCTTTAGGTCTGAAATGAGTCTCTTACAGGCAGCATATAGATGGATATTGCTTTTTTTGCTTGTTTGTTTTTTAAGATTTTATCTATTTACCTGACAGAGATCACAAGTAGGCAGAGAGACCCACAGAGAGAGAGGAAGGGAAGCAGGCTCCCTGCTGAGCAGAGAGCCTGATGTGGGGCTTGATCCCAGAACCCTGAGATCATGATCTGAGCCGAAAGCAGAGGATTTAACCCACTGAGCCACCCAGGCGCCCCTGGATGTTGCTTTTCTATCCATTTTTTTACTCTCTGTCTTTTGACTAGAGTATGTAATACATTTATTCACAGTAATTATTGATAGGTTTATACTTACTGCCATTTGTCACTTATTATAAGGCTGTTTTGGGATTCTCTGTTTCTTCTCTTCCTCTTTTCTCTCACAGTTTGTTGGTTTTCTTTAGTGATATACTTGGATTCCTTTTTCTTTTTCCTTTTGCATAGCTATAACTGGTTTTTGATTTGTGGTTACATTGGGCTTGTATATGACATCTTATGCACATAACAGTCTAAATTAAGTTGATGGTTGCTTAACTTTGAATCCATTCTTTGCTCTTCCTCTCCCATGTTATAGGTATGCGGTGTCATGCTTTACATCTTTTGTGAATCCCTTGACTGATTTTTATAGATATATTTATTTTCACAGCTTTTGTGCTTCCTACTTTTCTTACTGCTACTTACGGTCTTTCGCTTTCACACAGAGTCCCCTTTAACATTCCTCTTGAGCTGGTTTAGTGGTCATGACTTCCTTTAACTTCTGTCTGTCTGGGAAACTGTCTCTCCCTCTATTTTGAACGATTGCTTTGCTGGATACAGTAATCTTGGCTGCAGGTTTTTTCTTTCAGCGCTTTGAGTATATTCCAACCTGCAAAGTTTGTGCTGAAAAATCTGCTGAAAGCCTCCCCTTGTGTGTAACTTTTCTGTTCTTCTTTTAAAATTTTTTCTTAATAACTACTTTTTGGTTGGTGTGTGTTTTGGTGTGACCTCCCTTAGTTTGATTTTGTCGGGGGAATCTGTGTACATCCTGGATCTGGGTTTCTGTGGAGGTTTTTTGTTTTTTGTTTTTTTTCCCCCCTAGATTTAGAAATTTAGAGCTATTATTTTTTCAAGTAAATTTTCTAATCCCTTTTCTTTCTCTTCTTCTTCTGGGATCCCTGTAATGTGAATGTTGTTATGCTTGATGGTATTTCTGAGTTCCCTAAGTCCATTTTCATATTTATTATTATTTTTTCTTTCTCTTATTTAGCTTGATTGGTTTCCATTATTCTTTCTTCCAGGTCACAACTGTTTATTCCATCTAGTGTGTTTTCTGTTTCAGTTTGAGTTCTTCATCTTTGATTGGCTTTATTTTATGCTTTCCATCCCTACGTTAAGGGCCTTACTGAGATTCTCTAGTCTTTTCTTAAGTCCAGTGAGTTATCTTTATGACCATTACTTTACATTTTCTACCAGTTTTATTTATCTACCAATATTTCTACCAGTATTATTTATCTCCAGTTTACTTAGTTCTCTTGCTATGATTTTGTCCTTTTCTTTCATTTGGGACATATTCATCTGTTTGCTCATTTTGTCTCTCTGTGTCTGTTTTCACCTGTTAGAAAAGTCAGTTATGTCTTTTGTTCTTGAAAGTAGTGGCCTTAATGAAGAGCAAGTCCTGTCGTGTGCTGCAATGCAATGTCCCCTGTTCATCAGAACTTGGCACTTCAGGCACGGCTCCTCTGAGTGTTGCGTGTGCCCTGCTCTTGTGGCTGAGCCATGTTTGCCTTCATTCCAGTCATCTGCAATGGCTCTCTTTGCCTGTTGTGGGCAGGGTTGGGTCTCTGTGTTGTTAGTGGGCCAGTCTGGGGACATTTTAGGCTTAAGTTGAGTCAGACCAGATGTTTACTAGAGATGCAGTAGCACCTAACTGCAGCTGAGTGTGGGGGCAGGGTGCTTGGTGCCAGCAAGGTCCAAGTTGAGAGGACTGGACCTCCAGCACCAGAGACTGAGGAAGGTTGTGTTGGAAGCGTCAGATCTGCAGAAGTGCTCTGGGTCGGGATGCACAGTGTTAGCCAGATTTGTGTGGGTATGTTGTGGGAGGAGACCTGGATCAGAGGCGTGGATGGAGGGGGCATGTCAGCAGGAGAGCAGGGCAGCGGGGTGCACTGTTAGCAGGTTAGGTAGCAAATGTTGGTGCTGCTCTGGTTCCCAAAGGTGTTGGTGTGTTTATACTGCGGGTGAGGCATGCACATGGTGCCTGCCAATAGTTTTGTTCCTAAGAAGTCTCCCAAAGATCCCTACCTCTCCAGCATATGGTCTGAGATTTGTTTATTCAAACAAACCGCCCTCTCGTACACCCCAGGCATTTTTCAAACTGCTGCTTCTGTGCTGTATCTGCATGGAGGCTGTTTGTTTTGCTGTCTCTTTAATCGGGAGGACTCAGTTTCTCTTGCCCTTCTGATTCCTCCTGTCTCTCCCTCCTGTCTCTCCCATGAGCCTGCTGATTTTTAAAGTTCCAGGTGCCAAGCCTTGCTGATTGTAAGAACTCCTGAAATTCAGCTCCCCTGGTTTTCAAAGCCGAATGTTATGGGGATCGGTCTTCCCCTTGTGGGCTCCCTGGTGGGAGGGTCTGTTTCTCTCCACTTTCTGTGCCCATGGTGCCCGTCCCTTCTCTGGACGGTCCTGCAGATCCATGTAGCTCCCAGCCATATCTCTGTCCTTCCCACCGTAAGTGGCTTTTCTCTCCGTTTGGTTGTGGAGAAGCTGTTCTGCCAGCCTTTGGGTCATTTTCTGGGTTATTTATATTGAATTGACTGTTACCTAGTTGTGTTCCTGGGATGAGGTGAGCTTATGGTCCTCTTACTTTGCCGTCTTCCCCAGAAGTCTCCTGATGTTATGATGTTGTTACTTTTGTGCATGTCTCTTAGTACACATGTGCAGGGTTTCTCTAGGGCATATTCCCAGAAGTGGAATTACTGCATCATTGATATGCGTATGCCCAGCTCATTGAATTATGCCATATTTTTTTCCAAAGTGGTATTCCAATTCATACTCTTATTTACTATGTGTAAAATTTACCCTTACTTAACATTTTCAGCAATCCCAGACTTTTTCTAAAAAGTTGCCAATCCGATGTATGTAGAACATTGCTACTTAAATGATTGGATCTAGAAACTGTTACCTTCCACAATTTAATCAAAGCACTGCTTGCTTTACTGGAGAAGTCTTGTGAAAAAAATATTGTCAGCTGTAGTGAATAATATACTTAGTGATGTGGTTGATTTACATACTGGTGTCATTTTAATTTACAGGCCAACGGACTATTCTTTAAATAGCACTGTGGAATGATATTTTATTGTGGTTTAATATTTACCTGATTACTAATAAGATTGTGCATTTTCCCATACATTCATGTATCATTTGTGTTTTCTTTTAAATTAGAAGCTTGTTCATCTCTTTTGCTTATTTTTTGGATTTATCTTACATATTCTGGATAATAATCCTTTGTTATAGAGGTTGCTATTCTGTTCTCCCAGTTTTTGGCTTGTCTTTCACTTTTTTTAATAGATGTTCTTCACACTAATAAGTTACTTTTTGGCTAGTGCTTTTGGGTTTTGTTTGTGAAATTGTTCCCTCCCAAACAGTCAGAAAAGACATTTTCCGTTCTGAAAGCCTTTAGTTTTGCCATTCAAATGTAAATCCTTAGTCCACCTAGATTTGAGTGTGTGTGGTGCAAGATAGGGATCTAAACATGCTCTTTTCCCTATGGATAATCCCTTTCCTTAACACCACTTAATTGAATTATTTGCACAATGATTTGTAATAACATTTGTCACATTTCAGATATCCACATGTGTATGGGTTTGTTGCTGGGCTGTTTTTGTTTTATTAGTTTCTCTTTCCATACTTGTGCCAATAGCCAAGTGTCTTAATTACCATAGCTTCAAAACAAGTTGCTACCTAGTAAGGCAATTCCCTCCACTTTGCTGTTCTTCAGGAGTACCTTAGGCAGCTCTGGAATAAAATTTAAATTATTAAAAAGGAATTCAGGTTACATATATGTATTCCATAATAGTAGAGCTAACATACTCTGTTGAACCTGAACTGGATTAAGGTAAAAATAAGTGAGAACATGGGTGCCTGATAGACTCAGTTGGAAGAGCATGTGACTTTCGACCTTGGGGTTGTAAATTTAAGCCCCACGTTGGGTGTAGAGATTACTTAAAAATAAAATCTAAAGGAAAATAAATGAAGACACAATTTTTCAGTTAGTTGTTTAATTGGCTTTAGTTTCAAGAATTGCACTTTCTACTCTTACACTTTTTTGTTTTTAAGATTTATTTATTTATTTGAGAGAGAAAGAGCATAAGCGGGAGGGGCAGAGCATGAGGGAGAGTATCCCAAGCCAACTCCACACTGAGCACGGAGTCGGATGCTGGACTTGATCCCCTGATCCTGAGATCACGATCTGAGCTGAAACCGAGTTGGATGCTTAACTGGCTGGGCCACCCAGGCACCGCTGCTGTTATACTTTTTAAAGAATGGTTGAGAGTGACTATTTTTGTTTTGGAAAACATTCATTAAGGATGTAAAATTACGGATGTAATGGTTAATATTAATATTTTACATTTTTTTTTCTTTCAAGTCTTGATACATCATCAAAAGCATAGTCTTTTCAAGATGGCTTATCAGACACCTCTTTATCCTTGTTCTGTATGTGTTCAGGGGCCCAGCAGACATTTTGCTGCTGCTACAAAGTAAGTATTTCTTTAAATTAATTTTCTTTGCTTTCATTTAAAATTTTGATGAAAAAACATTATGCTTTGTCTCTTAAAGATGTACATGGACATACAGTTGTGCAAGTTTATTATCTCTGCTTTTTGGACCTTTTGTAATTCTAAAGGAAAATATGACTTACTATAGTAATACTTAACATTTATTGAACACCAACATTCAATGACTAATTTAGTCTCTCCACGCTATTTTATGTGGAAGCTGTTGTTATTATGTTCTTTTTTTTGAGTTGAAAAGCATGACATTGAAACATTAACTTGCCTAGGTACACAGGGTAGTAAGTGTTGGAGCTAGGGCTTTGTGACATAATAAGAAGTATTTGTACTGGTCTCTGCTTCCAGTTCCTGATAGAGAGCTCCTAAAACTCCTATAGTCTTCTGAGGGATAGGGATGCTAGGAGCATCTGTTATTCTAATATTTGGTCTTTGGCCCAGTTCCTGATACAGAGCTCCTAAAACCCTTGTAATTTTCTAGGTAACAGGAGCATCTTTTGTTTTAATAAGAAACTCTTGGTGGACTCCTAGAGGGAGGCTGGTCACCAGAAAGACCAAGCCATGATTAGGAGCTTTCAGCTCCACCCGCCATCCAGAGAAGAAAGAGGAGCTAGAGATTGAGTTCACAATTGATCATGCCTCCATAACATTCCCTATCCGGTGAGGTTCTAAAAGTTTCTGGATTGGTGAGCCTATATATGTGCCCAAAGTATGGTACACCCAGACCCAGCGGGGACAGAAACTCTTATACTCCAGACTCTTCTGGACCTTGCCCTATTTACCTATTCATCTGTATCCTTTATCGTATCTTTTATTATATAGTGAACTGGTAAATGTTAAGTAGGTGTTTCTCTGAGTTCTGTGAGTTATTCTGGCAAGTTACAAAGTCTGTGGAGGGGGTCACAGGACCCCTTGATTTGCAGCTACTGGTCCAGAATTACCAGAGGCCTTGAATTGCAATTGGCATCCGAAGTGGGGGCAGTCTTAGGAACTCAGTCCTTAATTTGTGGGATCTGATGCTAAATCCAGGTAGAGAGTATCAGAACTGTCTTCATTTGTTGGATACTCAGCTTATATCAGGTAATTGGTTGGTGTGGGAAAAAAATCCACACATTTAATGTCAGAATTCTTGTTTCTTATTTAACTGTATACCCTGTTCTACATCTTGCTTGCTTGCTTTTTACTTAACAATATATCTTGGGAGATTGTTTCAGAGGGAGCTCTCTAGTTGTTTTTTTTTTTAATTGAAATATAATTGATATATATTAGTGTCAGATGTACAGTCTAATAATTCAGTATTGCTTTGTTTTGGGAAATGCTCACTACGGTAAGTCTGGTTAATAGCTATCACTGTATAGAGCTACAGTTTGTTTTCTTGTGATGAGAACTTTTGAAGACTTAAATTTTCAGTAATTTTCAGAGAGTCAATAGAGTATTATTAACTGTAGTCACTATGCTGTACATTACATCCCATGGTTAGTTTTACAACTGGAATTTTGTGCTCTTGACCACTTTCACCCATTTCACCCACCCCCACCACTGCCTCTGGTAAACACCAGTCTGTTCCATGTATCTGTGAATTCTTTTTTTTTTTTTTCTTAAGTATTTCATGTATAAGTGAGATCGTATGGCATTTGTTATTCTCTGACTTATTTCGTTTAGCATAGTGCCTTTAAGGTCCATCCATGCTGTCTCAAATGGCAAGATTTTGTTCTTTTTTTATGACTGAATACTGTATCATTGTATAAATGTACCATATTTTCTTTATCCATTGATTTGTTGATGGACACTTAGGTTTTTTTCCATGTTTTGGTATTGTAAATAATGCTACAGTGACCTCCTTGGGTATCACTGTCATGGAAAAGCATGCACATAATATTTCCTTGTGTGGCTATACCATAATTCATTAAACCACTTCCCTATTTCCCCCTATGGCCCATGTTTATCTTTTCAGTCTTTTGCTATAACATATGAATAATCATGTACATAGATCTTGTCAAAGATTAGAATGTATTTGTAGTATAAACGCTGAGAAATAGAATTTTCGAATCAAAAGATGTGTGTATTTGTAGTTTTGATTGGTAATAGGTAATAGTAAATTGCCTTTATAGAGATATTTCCAATTTATGTCCTTATCAGTGAATTGTATTAGAATGTATACTTTTCCATATACAGTATAAAGTTTTTGAACTTTGCCAGTTTGATAGGTAATAAATGGTATCATCAAATTTTAATTTATATTTTTTATTATTGAGGTTGTATATTTTTCATGTGTTTAAGAGCCATGTAATTTTGTTAACTGTCAGTTTTCCTCTCTATATTATTTCAGCTTTAGTATATGTATTGCTGAAGCGAGCACTGTTTATTGTGAATTTTTGTTCATGTTCTATTCCAGTTCTTTGTTGTTGACTAGTAAGAGTGCTTTATATATAATAAATAAGCATATATTTGCATTATAACTTTATATTTTAACTGTTATGGTGGAGAAATGGACCAAGTGCTGTGGGATCACAGATGAAATGTAAATTAATTCCACCTGAAAGAGGGTATGATAAGAAGTATTTGAGCTGGGTCCTAAAAGATGGAACTTTTCAGGGGGATTGAGAGAAAAGTATTTTAGTAATACAGAAGCATGAGAGTGAATGATATGGACGAAATACAGTCCTCTATGGCGAATATAGGATGAAGAGGGTGGTGGCAGAAATGTCAATAGAAAGGAACCTTCCTTTGAGTGTGTATAATATCTGGATTCTTTTTTTTTTTTAAGATTGTATTTATTTATTTGTTAGAGATCACAAGTAGGCAGAGAGGCAGGCACAGAGAGAGGAGGAACCAGGCTCCCTGCTGAGCAGAGAGCCCGATGTGGGGCTTGATCCCAGGACCCTGAGATCGTGACCTGGAGAGGCTCAACCCACTGAGCCATCCAGGTGCCCCTGGATTCTTTTTTGTTTTTGAGAAGTTGGAGGAGTATTGGTTGTACCAGTTTACATTCCCATTCCCATCCAGCAATGAAACTTTGGATATCATCAGTCTTTATTTGTTTCTTCATCCTATTTCTAATTTATATCTTTTGCCTATTTTTCTGTTGGAATATTTATCTTTTTTCCTGATTTTTTTTTTTTAAGATTTTATTTATTTATTTGACAGACAGATCACAAGTAGGCAGAGAGGCAGGGAGAGAGAGAGCCGGGGAAACAGGATCCCTGCTGAGCAGAGAGCCTGATGTGGGGCTCGATCCCAGCACCCTGGGATCATGACCTGAGCTGAAGGCAGAGGCTTTAACCCACTGAGCCACCCAGGCGCCCCTTTTTTCCTGATTTTTGAAAATATTTTTAGGGATACTCATTACTTTGAGAACATTTTATCTTTAAATGTTTCTTTTATCGAATAGAAATTTTTCATTTTCTGTCTTACCCATGTTCTGTTCCAGTGCAACTTTAAAAGCAATTTCACTTACCTAAAAAGGATAGTATAAGAAATATGCATACTTAAAAAAACCTGAAAAGTCATTTTTTTTCATGTCTGACAATGAGAGTTGTTCAGTAGCTTGATGAGAATGATAGTATTCATAATTTTAGTTGTGGCTTTAAATCTTTTAAAGATTATTTATTTATTTATTAGCAAGAGACAGTGTCCAAGCGTGCATGCATGCTGGGGGAAGGGACAGAGGGACAGGGGAGAGAGAATCCCAAGCAGACTCTGCTGAGTGTAGAGCCTGATGTGGGGCTTGATCTCATGATTCAGAGTTCACAACGGGAGCTGAAACCAAGAGTCTGATGCTTAACCAACTGTGCCACCCAGGTGCCCCTGTAGTTTTAATTTTTTAATGTACTGACTTTATAATATACTAAAAAATGCTTTTTATATGGCAAAAAAATTTTTTTTAATTGGGATCTGAGACAGGGTAGAGAGGCTTGTTCTTTTTTTCTTTCTTTCTTTTTTTTTTTTTTTTTTTAAAGATTTCATTTGACAGAGAGAGAGAGAGAGAGACAGTGAGAGCAGGAACTCAAGCAGGAGTGGGAGTGGGAGAAGCAGGCTTCTTGCTGAGCAGGGAGCCCAATTCGGGGCCTGATCCTAGGACCCTGGGGTCACAACCTGAACCAAAGGCAGACGCTTAATGACTGAGCCACCCAGGTGCCCTGAGAGAGGCTTGTTCTTGCTTCTCTCTTCTCTTTTGTCAGTTCGAATCTCTTCATTTGTCCATGTGTGTGCACATACTCATGGTTTGCCAGTGGCCGATACTGATTAAAAAAAAGTCCACTTTAGTCATCTCTGACTTTGGTTCTGTTTCTCTGTTAATAACAGGTTGATGTATCTCAGAATTTTGTATTGACTGCCAGATGTTTTGTGTAGAACAGTTGAAACCAAAGTACCTAGTATTTATGCCCGGGAATGCACATGCCTGTTGTCACAGTGTTGAGTCAGTCCAGTCAGAAGTCGAACTGGGTTTTATTGTTGCTATGGTTACCACCAGCTTCAAATTTCTGCACTTTACCTTGTGCGCAGGATGGGGGCTGGGTTGCTTGGAAGGTTTTTCTCAGCGTTTCTGTTTTATGTTCTGTTTTCTGCCTTGCCCATGCATCTGTGCCTTGGGGGTGTGTGTGTGTGTGTGTGTGTGTGTGTGTGTGTGTGTCTATACTCTTTCTCCTTCCCTAGTGTGGATTGTTGTTGCTTATTAGTGCTTGCTAGTCTGGAGATGGGTGCAGGAGAGATTCTCTGTTTTCCAAACCAGCTTTATCTTAAGTGGGCCCAGTGTGGCTGGACCTTTGGGATGGGGTTTTCTCAGTTTTTCTGTCCCTTCGCCCTGGGGTGTTTGTCTGCTGCTGGTCTGTGCCAGAGTGTCCAGGCCCTTCCCCAGCTTTACTGTCCTGGTGGAGGACTGGACTGTTTCCTGACCTGCCCTAAGGGTAGAAGTTTTCGTATTTTTTTCTTCTTTCTTTTCCCTATACCCATGGGTGTTTACCTGTGCC